TGCTAAGAGAGATTGTGCTCTGAGCTTTCTAAGCTTTCTCTGTCCACGCATCTGAAGGGTGCTCTAGCTTGATTTATACATTTCCACGTACCTTCTCTTATTAGCAGCATTTTCATCTTGAATTTCCAAGACTGATAGTTCTAGTTTGTCAGATTTACAAATGAAATCTTTATTTCAGCTTTGTTACTGGCCATATTCTTTATTTATTCTGTCACAGTCTTCTTTCTGTTGCTGTATCTTGCATTTATTTTCTGTAGCTGGCTATGACTGATTTTGCTCTGTTCTGTGCTGAACTTTACATTTTTCCTCTAATCTGAGCTTATATTGGGTTTATACTGTTCAGGCATTCTATTTTATATAATTTATTTATTATATATAATAATCCTCTGCTACATGGGAAGCAATGGACTGCAGCCATCTGCTAAAGCACTGGGAAAAATGGCTATTTTTCAGTCCTCTGCTATATTAGCAGAAATAGAAAAAAAAATTGGCAAAGAATTGAGATTTAACGTTTGTTTTCCTCTGATGTATTTTTTTTCAGTTTGCAAAGACATTTTGATAGACAGGGCCCAAGACTAAGAACTGGGGTTGAACAGTGGCGTGAGGGCGATCTGGCTGCAATATCTGTTACCTCGCTGATTGCCAGACTTGATCCGACTGATCCAGCTGGCTAGCAGATGTTCTTTTCCTCCTTTATCACTCATGTATGCCCTGCCCAAAACTTGGTGAAAGAAGGAGTGTAAAAATCTTGTAAAGGGTATGCAAGGAGAGTTGTGCTGTCCTGCTAGAACTTCTAAACAAGTTCAACTCAAGGGTTGACCACCAACAATGGGACAGCACCTTCTATATGCTGCAATGGTATGTGGGAATAACCTTGGGAGACAACAGGAAAAGCCACAGCCAAGGGATCAGTTCCATAAAAGGCAGCTTAGCCTTCAGCAGGAATGTGGGCATGGCAATTGTCAGGAAATTTTTTGAGTTGTGAAAGGCGATGGAGAAGAAATATACCTTCAGACTTGCAGAATTCTATTAATGTAACTTTAAAATAAAATATAATTAGTTCATCTGGGCATGCTTCCCCTCTGGACTGCCTTACAAGGCTGATAACCATAAGGGCATTGGGGTAGCTATTGCTTCATTTTGACCATGGGAGCAGTACCTAGCTGACCTTGATTAATATCCTGAAGCTAAAGTTAAGCAGGACTGACCTCATTAAGGGACGGATAGGAGACCACCAGAAAAAGCTAAGACTGTAGCCTAGACTGGGAAGTCAAAACACCACCACCACATACATTTTGAAAGAAAACAACAGCAACCCACTGTCAAAATTCCATGGACATATCCACAAAGTCACTAGGAGTCCATGAGATACAATAGCTTTATAATTAGCTCATATAAACTGCCTACCCATTCACTTCTATGGCAGTATGCTTTGAGGCCACAAGCAATATTTATAATACTGACTATGAGAGGTGAAAGCACTATTACACTTGCTTCTGCTAAGCCTTCCCCCCTCCTCCATTATTATTCAGAATCTTTGCTTCAAGGGGAAAGCTTAGTTCCAAATCCTCTGTTTGGTGTGTTTGACAGGAGTACAAAATTAAAAGTTAATTAGAGTTCAGACTAGGCATTGATACAGAATTATAACAAGATTTTCTAGCTTTGTGGGTGACCAGTCCTGTAAACAGAGAAGGTAAGTGAAGGATATGCCGACAACCAAAATGCAGTACTAGAAATTCTACTTCTCGTGACTGTTTCTAGTGGTTTTTCAACTGCTTTTATTTATTGCTATTGTGCTATTATTTTCTACCTTTGTGCATTCATATCTAGCCAAAATTCCAGTAATGGGATAAATATTAAAATACATACAAGGAAAATATTCAAAATCCATTCCTAGCAAATACAAGTCAGGACCAACAAAATGCAGCAATGTTCACTAGTTGGTTTTGTCGTGGTGAGTTTTGTCTCTTGACTTGACATGATTCAGGCAGCTTTGTTTTAGGGCAGGGGTTCCCAGCCAGGGGACCTTGTACCCCCTGGGGGTGCGAGACGATATTCCAGGGGGTGTGAAAACTTGGGTTTTCAAAATTATAGTGCAGTGGTGGCAAACCTATGGCATGCATGCCAGAGGAGGCATGCAGAGCCCTCTGTGGGCATGCACACACGCCATCGCCCCAGCTCCACCTCCCCCAGCAGCCCCCTTCTCACCAGCAGCCTCCCCGGAAGAAAGTCGCCCCCAGGCATGGCCCACGCAGAGCAGCGCAGCCAAGGACATGGCAGCCAGGCAGCAGGGACAAGAGTCCACCCTTGCACTCCGTCGCGCGCAGATGATGCTGCGGGGCACGGGTGGAGGGCGTGGCCAACACGGGGCTGTAGGGCCACCTGGGCAATCTGCGGCAGGCCGTGGAGGTGGTAGGTGGCCCTGCGGGCAAGCAGAGTGGGGGACGGGACAGTTTTTGGGCACTTGGTGTCTAAAAGGTTCACCATCACTGTTATAGTGTATATGCATAATTTGTTGCCATTATTTCAAACTTTTGTAAGATGTGCGAGAATATATCAGAAGTATTCTAGGGGTGCAGGGTATAGAAAAGGTTGGGAACCACTGTTTTAGGGCATGAATAGTTTCTTCAGATTTTATGAGATTATGTAAAGCAGAGAAGGGAACTAGAACTTGGCCCTGATCGGAAACGAGGGGAATCCTCCATTTCTAGTTTGCCACCTGTTTACTCCTGGAGTATAATTTGGAGCTTCAGCAGAGTACCTTACAGAGGTGAGCAGCCTGTGGCCCCTAAGATGTTGGCACAACCTCTAGAACAGTGTTTCTCAGACTCTGCAATTTAAGCAGTGCGGAGTTTAACTCCCAGAATTCCCCCAGCCATTTGTTGATTGGGAGAATTCTGGGAGTTGAAGTCCACACAGCTTAAAGTTGGAGGGGTTGAAAAACACAGCACTAGATTTTCTTCCTAAATCCCCTCTGACCTGCTTAGGACAATCCACTTCATTAGCAGTGTGGTGGTCTGCTAACAAAATTCAGCCTGGTTTCAAGCAAGCATTTCAACTTCCAAACTATCCCTGATTTACTGCCAACGTTTCCAGAGATGCTTTGGGTCCCTAATTTCCCACCTCTGTTTGACAAGACAGAGCGAGCTCCTGCTGATAGAGCTAAAAGGTGCAGAGATCCAAAGATATGAACTGTTGATGATTTAAAAAGGAGTGTTTTATAAATGCTGACAATAATAATAGCGATAATACTAATAATGATAGCAAGGATTATAATAAGCACATCTCCAGGATGATGATAGTATGGTGGCAGGATGAGGACTCCTACTAATAATAATTCTGATATTTAAATTCTGGGAGAAGATGTTGGCCTCCTAATTAGATGTTGCCAAGAAGAGCCAGACTAAGCAAAGTTACATTTTTTTAATGGGAAACAGATCAGTAAAAGTCAGCTTCACAGCAGGAACTAGCTATTCTTTTCCACCAGAATATACTTTTAATTTCTGATGTTGGCAATACTGCTAATAAAAAAAAAAAGCTGTGCACTACTTTGGATTCAATTCTAAAAAAGTGTTCCAGAACAGATCAGAGTACAAATGTAACATCTGTCTTTAACTCCTTAAAACAGCTGCATCTGTGTTATTTTGGGAAAAGATGCAGTTGCTTTAATAAAGATTCATATCCTTTGTACTCCAAAATACTTTAATGGAACTCAATATCAACCATTGAACGACCCTAATAAATAAATAAATAAATACATAAATTGGTTAATTTAATGACTGAGTCCATTCTGTTAATCATTCCCACTTTACAACTAGGCAGAACATTGCATAAAAAGAGCTTAAATTCCGAATGCATTCAGAAACAAAAAAAAATTCAATGTATACTTATTCAGGTCCCAAGAAGGCTGCCAAATCATTACACCAGTGGTTCTCAACCTGTGGGTCGGAACCCCATTTGGGGTCGAACGACCATTTCATGGGGGTTGCCAAACAACGCAGTCCGCCATTTTTTCCCCTTTTCCTTAGCTGTGCTATTCCCTTTTATTCTACTGGCTTTTGAAAGCCAATAGAATAGACTCTCTTGAATAGAGTTTAATTCTATTGGCTTTCAAAAGCCAATAGGAATTGTCCAGGCTGTCTCTGCCTTGCTGAGCTCGCCAAAAGCCCCAGTCTGCAAACGGTGCTGCAAGTTGTCTGCAGTGAAGGCGAGCTGTCTGGAAGTTTCCACCCCTCCCTGCTGAGCAACTACTAAAAATGTAAGTAAAAGAGGGCCAGGGGTGGGAGGTGGGAGGCCGATGGGCACAGGGAGGGTTGCTGGTGTGCGTGGGGCCCAGCGGGTGCCTTACCTCCCTTGGGCTGGGCCAGCTGGTGGCCCAGCCGGTGGTCACCCTGCTCCATCTCTGCCACTTGCCAGCTACGCCTCGGCCGGCACAGGGGGTGGCACCACGCATGCGCGGCACTCCCGGGCAGGCAAAGTCCTCAACTTATGACTGGTTGGGTAGTCCTCAACCTACGACCGGTTGGGGGTCGCGGCATTAAAAAGGTTGAAAACCACTGCATTACACACAGAGAGAGAGAGAGGGAGGGAGGGAGGGAGGGAGGGAGGGAGGGAGGGAGGGAGGGAGGGAGAGAGTTCAATCTTGCATATTGAGAAAACTTTAATACATTCTCTTTTAAAGCTAATAAACCAAGCCTATATACATAAAAAGAGGAACATATAGAATTCCCAACCTTTCTAGCTTTGTGGACTGGAAGGGGAGGGGGAAGGGATGGTTCCATGTGAGCGGCGGGCAAGCGTGCCCATGCAGCTCCAAAAAAATTTCAGGCGGAACGGTTCTGAACAGCTCACGGCCCAATAGTGGGCCACAGCCCAGGGGTAAAGAACCCCTGATATAGACAACACAAGGAAATTCTTACACAAATAAAATCAGTACAGCCCACCTAATTAGTTATTCTTTCCCACCTTGAATAAAATCTTAAGTTTTAGCATATACTCACTATGGAAAGGATCATCTGGGTTCCCTGCTTGGATATTTGTCAGTAGACCTTTCTTGTTCCTTTTCTTTTTCCGCTTTTCTCTCTCTGAACTCGTACTCTCAGTGCTGTAAAAGGTAGAAGATAATTGGAAGCCAGCTTCTGACTTGAGAGACTGAGGATTGCTTTGTCCGAGCAAGGGCAAAGCTCCAGCTTTGATGTTTTGAATCAGCCAAGAAAAGTTGTTTAAAAAGATCCAGCCTTCAGCTGCCTGGAGTTGGCTGGAAATGAAGCCTGCTTAAGAAATGCAATACTTAATTTCAACCCCTTCATCTACTTTGGCCAGGTTTCTCTCTGGACCACAGTTCTCGTGGCCTGATTGAAATTTTGTCCTCCTTCTTCCTTTCTCCCACTTTTGCCAGGAAAACAAGCACCAACTGCTTCTCCTTCTATGGGCATGGATATTCAGGATCATTGGGGTGATTGGGGAGAGATCTAAAGCTGCCTTTCTTCCTGTCACTTAGGCTAGAAGAGGAAACTTGGTAGAACTCTTACCAATTCCTTCTGGTTCAAATTTAAAAAAGAAAGGGAAGATTCACTTTTCCACTGAATCTGTTAAAACAAAACCAAGAAGGAGCCAGCATTTTATCATTCTGCTATTGAACCCCCCAAAAATCAACCTGACCATTGAAGGAGGAGAGTTGGAACTAGTCCTGGCCCACCAGAGCCAGCCCCAGCTAATGGGAATGGAGTCAGTTATCTAAGATGGAATGAGCTTTGACAGATCAACCAGAGTGCTAAACTTTGCACCAGCTGAGGAGGGAATACACTACTTTTGATGTGAACCAAGGAAATTCAGGTGAGATCACCTTCCTAGCAGCCTAGAGGTAGCTGAAGGCAATATTGTCTCTTCTTGGCCTCCCCAAATTATAGTTTGCCTCTTCTTGTGTGCTGGGACAAGCAGAAAGTACCTACCAGCTTTAAGAGGGAAGTTACATAATTTATGGGAATTAGAATTCCAGAAGCTGTGAAGGCTCCAACACTGGAAGTTTTTAAGAAGAGACTGGACAGCCATTTGTCTGAAATGGTATAGGGTTTCCTGCCTGAGCATGGGGTGACTAGATGACCTCCAAGGTCCCTTCCAACTTTATTATTGTTGTTGTTGTTATTAAATTATGCAGAGGTGACAGTCACCTTCCTAACAACACAGTCTAGTTTTCATTAGTTCTGTATTTGTATAAAAATGAGATGGGATTATACAGGATAAACTGTTATTGGAAACAAAAGCTGACTTTTATCTCTTCTTGTCCCTCATTACAAAATCAGTTTATACCAGAGGTCTTCAAACTTGGCCCTTTTATGACTTGTGGACTTCAACTCCCAGAATTCCTCAGCCAGCATGGTACACTATCAAACTATCCATTTACATATATTCACCCCTTAAGTCTTTTTTATTGTGTTTGTTGGCCACTGTTGTGTTAAATCAGCATACAGAAGTTTATAGCATGATTAAACCTCATTTCCAAAGGTATTCCGTATGATATGTGCATGCCACTGATTTCAACCTCAGTTCCTATGCTAGATGTCTGTCTTGAACCGCAGCTGCCAGCAAGGGTAGACAATATTGAGCTAGATAATTAATGGTGTGATGCAGTGGATCAATTCCTTAATTATAGAACTATATTGGCCAATGTCACCAAATGAAATTGTTTATGAATATTGCACATTGGAGGAATCATAAGCCAGACCAGCAGTCAATCAACAGCAAACCAAATTAATTCTACCAACAGAATCCAGAATTATTTGCATCATTTGTAAATGCTTACAAGTCTAACTGAAGGCATTTGAAAGTTAAATATACTAATCTCATTTCAGGAAACAAGGAATTTGATTAACCTTTTTTTAAAAAAAAATAAACCCACTAGCTTCACATCTTTTGGCTTTATAGCAGAGTAGAGCAAAGCAACAACTTCAGTTGCATCAAATGAAAGGAAGAAGACTTTTTCTTTCTTTGATTCAAAGATAGTATCTGATTAATCCTTCCCGTTGCCATTAGCATAAAGGGAGGAAATAATATCTTCTATATCAGCTTCCCTCCTTAAAATTTGCTTCAGACCACTGGAACAAAACCTGGAGTTGCATGGCAGATAGCAGAGAGGAGAAGGGGGAAAAATCTAATTACAGTATATGATTGAATTTTATCCAACTTTAGTGCTCACTTATTGCATAAGCCTGTTGGCTGTTAAAGATAAGCTTTAGGAAAAATCTCTGTTGTTATAATGCTGGTCTTTTTTAAAAGACTTGCTGATGCCTCTGAAGTATTAACCATGGTATCTACTTTAGCGGCATTAAATGCATATGCTATTTTGGGAATGTGAATACATTGTAATGTCCTGGATGCCAGCCAAGGGTATCTACATAAGGGCATCAAGATGGCAGGTACAAATGTGTGGATTGAAGCCACCTTTTTCAATATGCATCACAGGCATTGCACACGCATAAAAATGGGTTTTTGATTGTTCGGTCACACCTACCATTCTGTTGTTGTAAACAACCCCCTCACCCCATACAGATGCTCCAGAGGCCTACTAGAAAAAGTAATAAAAAATCATAAATTATTCCAAATCTATTCTACTGACTTGTAAGAGAAGATAAGGAAGGCTCTTATCTAATTTATTAGAATGCTTCTATATGAAACTAAAATATTGTTTTCTCTCTCTTTTGTTTATTTAATCATGGATGATTCACTACTAAGAGAGGAAAATGTGGAAAAGTTGACATGGGCAGGAAACTCTTAATGAATAACATTTTATACGGCTAAATCCATTCAAAAATACTTTCCAAAATACTTTTGCATTTCTTAAGTTCTAATTTATATTTATGTTTTATATTGTGTCATAAATTGCATGATTTGCATTTGTAGCTGAGTTGGAACAGGCATTTTCAGTCCTCTAGAAACCTTACCTTTAATATTTTTCCATGAAAGATTACTTAATTTTACCTATTGTTGTCTATAAAATTAAACCCAAGTAATGAAAACCCTAGATAGACCTTGAAGCAGTCTTATCTCCATAGATGACTCCTATTAGAGTTTTCTAAATTTAATTTTAAAATATGAATAAATTTAGCTTTCAAGTGCCACAACGCTCTCAGGTTTAAGAATTAATAAGAAATAATAGTAGATATATTATTCAGGAGGAGAAGCCTTCTTCATATTAGTACTTTCAATTTTTGTATTACAGCAATTAAGGTTTTATGGTAGGTAAAGAAATGTATTAGTGTGGGAAGAGAGCTGTCACAACTCGGCTAAACAATCTTAGATTTAGTGATCAAAAGGGTAAAAGATATGAATAATTTTGCATAGGGTTTCAGAAGAAAAGGAAGAGTTTCTTATAGCTAGCGCAGGGGTAAGCAACCTTGGTTCTTTTATGACTCGTGGACTTCATCTCCCAAAATTCCTGAGCCAGTCATGCTGAAGGGAAAGGGAGAGGTTTCCAAGCTGAGCCATACTGGTTCAGGAATTCTGGGAGTTGAAGTCCATGAGTCATAAAAAAGCCAAGGTTGCCTACCCCTGAGCGAGGAGCACCTGCAGTGTGGCCAAAATGGTGGACTTTTTAAAAAACATGTTCTGTATGCTAGAAAAAGATGGGGTTTCAATCATGTGATTGCAACCACCATTTTGACTTTTTTCAACCGTGTACAGATGCCCCTGCCTAAAACAAAAGTGTCTTTTTCTTTAATTTTATCTCCAAAAGATAAAATATATTAGAACCAATTATTGTAGGATTTTGGAAGTATTGTTGCAAAATGTTTCAGTGATTGTCCAGATATTACATCACCTTTGGAAAGCCATATCTGTCCTATCTATGAAAAGCAATTAATTTAAAATTCTAGGCTCTGGATATTGTTCAGATGGATGAAAAGTTAATATGGTGTAAAAATTGTTTCCATTTGTTCTGAAATATAGTATATGACAAATAGGTGACAAATTTAATTGCATAGAGTTTGAGAATGAAATTACTTTTACTTAAGATTAGTCAGACAGGATTGTAATTCCACAGAACTAGTTCTAAAGGAAAAGCAAGTTGTGTTTCCCATAAAGAACAAGGTTTTAATTCTATTTAATTATTTAATTTATTTGTTACCTTTATTCCCATCAGCCCTTCAGAGGAGGCCACATCAAGAAGCAGATACCACAGGAATGACTGGAACTCAATTTTACTGCTAAAGGGTATGGGAACAGAAGCTTGAAAGTTTTCATCGCTTTTATTCCCCAGAGAATTAAGGCAGGGCAACTTTTAATTGCTTCCTCTTCCCTTCTTTCTAGACCAGACATGTCAAACTCGTGATGTCACGTGACATCGCACAACGTATCGGGCCGGTTTTGCCATTGCCAGCAATGGGGTGGGCGCGGCTTCCGGTTGATGCGTCCGGCCCATGGGCCGGCAGTTTGACACCCCTGTTCTAGATTAAGCTGGTGCTTTTCTTTATTTCTTAAATTTATATACTGCCAATGCCCAACAATTGCAATGCTGTCAGGCACAAAGAATCATGACCATTTTTTAGGTTGCAACATAGAAGAGTTATTCAAGCCTATACACAAGAATCTGATCAACTAAAGTTCAGTGCTAAATTACCATCAGATAAGGGTCAACAGAACTTAGAAGGAGTTGGACTTGGAGCATTTATGGGAAAACAAGGACTCTAAACTGATGACATGCTTAACTCCACCATCACCCCAGCTCTGCCTGCTCTTATCCTACAAATGCACAAGTTAATAATAAAGACATTAAAAATATATATTTTTATAAAGATATAAGATATAAAACATTAAAGATGCATTAAAGATATATCTATTATATGTGTGTGTTTGTGTGTGTGTGTATGCCAGTGAAACATGGACCTCACAATACAATCAAGCTAGAAGTGGCACAAAGAGCCATAGGAACATACATGCTTGGCATTACAAGACAATATAGAAAGGTCTGCAACTGGATTATGATATCGTCAAGAGAGTAAAAGAATTTAAATGGAAACGGGCTGATCACATAGCAAGAAAAAATGATGGCAGGTGGACCAAAGCAGTCATAGAACAGATCCCACTTGATAAAAAGCATCCACGAAAGAGACCTAAAGCAAGATGGATCAACAACATCAGCAAGAATTTCAGGCCCAGTTGGCAAAAGAAAGCTCA